AATGGAACTACTTTCTCATTTTTTTCAAGTCATGATCTCATTTTAAAATCTGATATATAGTCACTTTGCATGTTTTTTTGATAGTCAGTCTCAGTGGGATTCACACTAAGAAATGTATGGAACCAGACTAAATAAGACTAAATATGAAATTCATGGTCCCAGCGGCCAGTCTAGATATATATGACATCACATGAGATTTTATTACAGAGTATTTAGCAGTATATACTATAAATACAGAGATCAAAATATAATAGAGATAGTAAGAGAGAAGTAGAGATAGTGAAAGTAATAGAAGAGACTGTAGAGTAGTAGAGATAATGAATGATAATAGCCTGTATTACATCAGTAGCTGATTATAGAGTTCAAGTTTGATGGAATAATCAAGGGAATTTCACTGAACTCTTTCAAAGTCTGCAAAACAGAGCCTTGAGAAGAATTCTGGAAGCATTCAAATCATCTTCTATTAAAGCAATGGAAATTGAAGCTTCAATTCCTTCTCCTGCTATTAGATTTGAAAAGGCCTGTATGAACTATGCTCTGAGAGTTGTAAAGATGAGCTCAAATCATATAATCAGAGAAAGAGTCTCTTCTTCATTTCCATCAATTAACTCTGGAAATGAACTGGATTGGAATAGATTTCTTGATTGGAATGAAAATAATGCTTCAAAGAAAATGCCTTCTCAACTGTACAGACTATGCTCTCTGATTAAAAATCAATTTTCTTCTTTAAATGTTGAAAAAGTTGATCATGAGAAGTTATCTCCCTGGAGAGAAAAGCTTGAATCTCTTATAGACTTACAAATAAGTGAACTATCAAAAGAGAAAGAATATGAACAGCATTTGAAGAGAATTTCTACAATCAATATAAAAGACTCTATTCTGGTTTATTCAGATGGCTCAAAAAATGAGAACTTGAATAGATTAGACGCAGGCATTGCTTATACTGAAGATAATATTAATTTTATCTCAGATTTCTGGAATCTAGGCTCTGAATGTGAAGTCTTTGATGCTGAACTATTTGCAATAGTGAAAGCTTTCAAACTCATTGAAATAAAATCTCATAAAAGAGGAAATTGTTTGAAAGAGACATGAATATTCTCTGATAGTCAAGCTGCTTTAAAAAGACTTAGAAATAGTCAGATTCATAATAATCAAATGAATCTTGAACTGATCTTAAACTCTGTTTTGAAAATTCAAAAGAGAAGAATATCAAAGCTGATAATTCATCTGCACTGAGTTCCTGCTCACATGAATATTCATGGTAATGAATTGGCTGATTCAGCTGCAAAAAAGAGTGCAGAATTAAGCAGATCTATTCAAAAAATTATGTCCTGGTCTTTTATAAAGAGAAAAATAAAAGAATCTTGTTTAGACAAGTGGAATGAAAGCTGGCAGAAACAAAAGAAGAGTATACATTATTCAAGATTTGAAACAAAACCCAAGTGGAAATCTTGTTCAATTAAATGTAAAAAGAAAATATTCTCATCTATAATACAGCTGAAACTAGGACATGGCTATTTCAAATCTTATATACAAAGATTTGATGATAGATTTGACTCAATAGAATGCTCATTCTGCAATACAAATGAGAATCCTGAGTATATTGTAATGCACTGTGCATTATACAATAGTCTCAGAGCCAGATTGAAAGAGAAGTATGATCTAAATCAATTAAATATGAGATTCTTATTCTCAACTGAGACAGGAATTAAATACTTAATAGACTTTCTATCAGAAACTCAAGCAGCTACAAGAAAATGACTAAATTCAGAATTATCTGAGTATGAAGAGGAGGAAATTAATCAGATATAGTCTGTTAAAACAGCTATACACTCTCTTTTAATAATTTGTTTTGTTATAGTCTCTCTTTACTTTATCTTTTTCTTTATCTTTTTCTTTCAATTTCTTTCTATCTATTTATTTAATGTGTCTATCTTTGAGACTGTGTTCTTTTTCTCTTTTCTTTTGTCATGATATTGTCAAATGGTTTCAAAGTATCAAAAGATGTTAAAACACTGCAATTTGTAAACAGTTTTTGTATTCTGAGCTGGAATTTTCTGATTTTGCATATCTGAAATTGATGAATGTATAATAGTTAACTTTACAGACATAGAAAAAACCCTGAGAACTAAAGTTCTCAGGTAGATGTCATAGTCTCTGACTGCATACATCTATAATTGAAGAATAATAATAATAATAATAATGAATGATGATAGAGAGACTAGAGAGTGAAAAAGATGACAGAGAGAGATGATAGAGATGATAAAAGTGAGAGAGATAATAGAGATGATAAGAGAGAGGTAAAATAATAAGATAAGAATAGAGATAGAGAGTGAAAGTGATAGAGAGTGCTGTGAGGCAGTAGAGGCAGTGATGATGATAGAGAGAGTAGAGGTGATAGAGATGATAAGAGATGATAAGAGATGATAAGAGAGAGTTGAAGTGGAAGTGATAGAGGGTGCTACAGGGCGTTAGAGGCGGTGGTGATGATAGAGAGTAGATAGAGTAATGCAATTGACAGGCACCACTACATATTCATGGATTTTTGATGAGGTGCATGTGTTGTCACGTGAGATCACATTACAGAGCATTTTACTCAGAAAAGTTGGTTTTTCTATAATATATAGAGAGATTAGAATATACCTGTCTTGATATTCACTGATAAAAGTTGTCATATCATCTACTTTATATTTGATTATGGTTATAGTCACAGCAGAATCACTGATTTCACTGCACTAGAAAATCTTCTTATTCATCTTGAATTCTGTAAATATATTTCTGACAGTGTATTGAACACTTGTTTCTAGTTAATAGAAATGATTTTATATTTAAAATAGCTGTAATTCAATCAGTAATAGCCTGCACAAAAAGTATTAAGATATGAATGAAATTCATCAGATATGCTGATTACACTCAGAGATAAAATATGAAAGTATTTGCATTCATTATATAATAATCTGCAAAGATGAATTAATAATATATATAAAGACTTACATTTTTCTTTTCCTTCTATTCTTCTTTCTTCTTCTTGCAATAATAATACACTGCAAAGATCATTTTCAGTTCATTCAGCTCACTCTGTTCTTCTTTATCTCTTAGTCTGATTAGTATTCTGCCAGTTGTAATAGAAAGCTTTTAATCAGAAAAGTTCTAATCAAGATATCTTATCTGTATAGTATATCAAGAATATCAGTAATTTATTACAGCAGTATTAATCACAGTAATAACAATAACAGCAGCAGTATCAAAATAATAAGTAACACTCTCAAGTGTATTCATACTGCTGCTGCAAAGACTTAAGAGAAGAAAGTAAGTAGCTGTCTGAATTAGACTGACCGCCGGGACCATGAATTTCATGTTTGATCTCATTTGGTCTGGTCCCATACATTTCTTGGCGTGAATCCCACTGGGACTGGCTATCAAAAAAACATGCAAAGTGACTATATATGAGATTTTAAAATGAGATCATGACTTGAAAAAAATGAGAAAGTGATCTCATTTAATCTTATTTAGTCTCATTCTTGATATAAAGTTACTATTTTTAGACATTTTAAGGTTTTTTTTAGACTATTTTTAATTTTTTAAAAAGTAACACTTTTTGATAATGCTCAAATGAGATTTAAAGTCATTTAAAGCAATAAAAATAATTTAAATTGAGAAGTGGAAATCATGATCTCATTTGAAAAATGTGATAAGAGTAGACAGTAAGTCTCACTGAGAGAGTATGAGACTACTATCTAATGTTAAAACCATGTAATGAGATCAGTTCAATTGATAATGAGACTATTAAAAAATCTGGTCCTGGTCTCAGACACAGTCACACGGTCAGTCTAGTCTGAATACTCTGATAAAGCAGTCTGATAAATAAACAATATGTGAGCACTGTATTGAGTATATTTTTTCTTATCATTTGAATGCTGCTTATGATAAGATGAAGAGAAGCTCAAAGTCTTATATAAATTACAATTATAAGAAAAAGAGATGTATAATTGTTTCTGAAGAATTAAAAGAATAAGTTAATAATCTGATTTAAATTCACAATTTTTATCTTTCTATATTAGATAATTTTAAGAAAATAATAAAGAAAGCTATGTTAAAATCAGTGAAGAATCTTTCAAAATAGATTAAGAAAGTCAAAACTTATTAATAGAAAGTAAAAACTTAATATATAAAGAGTATTACTATTGTTCTGAAAGTTCTAAATATTATCATCAGTACTGCTGAAAAAGCTAAAATTGAGATTGAGAAGATCAAGTTGAATATTGAAAGAATAAAATTAGAAATTGAAAAGAAAAAAGTTACTGCAGAAAAGAAGAAAATCATAATTAAAAAGATAAAACTTAATATTAAAACTATCAAGCTTGAAGTGTATTACAAGCTTTTGAGAATGATAGTCAGTTATATTTAGACTGTCCGCCAGGACCATGAATTTCACGTTTGATCTCATTTGATCTGGTCTCATACATTTCTTGACGTGAATCCCGCTGGGACTGGCTATCAAAAAAACATGTAAAGTGACTATATATCAGATCTTAAAATGAAACCATGAGTTGAAAAAAATGAGAAAGTGATCTCATTTAGTCTCATTTAGTCTCATTCTTCACATAAAGTTACTATTTTTAGACATTTTAAGGTTTTTTTTAGACTATTTTTAATTTTTTAAAAAGTAACACTTTTTAGTAATACTCAAATGAGATTTAAAGTCATTTAAAGCAATAAAAATAATTTAAATTGAGAAGTGAAAATCATGATCTCATTTGGAAAATGTGACAAGAGTAGACAGTAAGTCTCACTGAGACAGTATGAGACTACTATCTAATGTTAAAACTGTGTAATGAGATCAGTCGAATTGATAATGAGACTATCAAAAAATCTGGTCCTGGTCTCAGACACGGTCACACGATCAGTCTAGTTATATTAAAGAATAAAAATTGATCATAGAGAATCTCATAAATTTAATAAATAATTTTAATACTGAAGCTAGTTATATTATCATTGAGATACACAAAACAATGAAATATATTCAGAGACTCACAGATTATCTTGATAAGAATTCAGTTACAGTCAGTGATAGCAGCAGCAGTAATGAGAAATTTAATAATAGTAATAATTCTCTTCTTACTTCTCTCACTGATACTTTTACTACTACTGTTAATTCTTCTCTCTCTTTCTTCTCTGATCTTCTGACTTTAGTTGATTCTCTGACTATGAGCAGTACTGAAACTCTCAACATTCTCAGTGAAAAAGTAAGTTAGAATCAGTGAAATGATTCTCAGATTTATACAGAAGTTAATAATAATATAGATGAGTAAATATATAGCTCTCAATCTCTCTGAAATTCTCTCTCTTAAACAGTGAATGATTATTGATACTGATTCTTTATAAACTTTAACATCAATTTGCAAGTTCTCTGAAATAAATATTAATATGAATATGACAGAAAATAATAACAATGATATAGAGATGATTCAGAGAATCTGAGAGAAATTACAGAACAATGTAACAGATTTTCAATAGAGAATGATTTCAGTGAATGAGACATTTTTTAGAATTAGTGATTATATAGATAGAAGTCAGTAATATTGCTAATACAATAATGATTTTATTCTGTTTATAACTCATTTACAGTGATTTTACAGCTAATTCATCATTATATTATATTTTACAGTTCAGTGACAGTGTCAGCAACTGGCACAGCGGAACAATCATAACCCGGTCATATAATAAGCCTACATTTTTCCGGTATGAGTAGTAATCATCAACATTTCTCACAGCTCTATATTAATAATTACTACATCTACTGTTGATGATTACTACACCTACTCTAGTCACATGCCACCTTAACCTATTTATTTAGTGTAACTCACGTAGTTAGATTACAACATAATAATATTATTCTTCAAGAGATTATGAAGTTCTTATTAAGCTAATGAAAATCACTGAAATAACATGTCAACTACATCTTCACATATTGTTACATATGCCTAGATGTTTTTTTATAAGTGATTGAACTCATGATTAATCTAAGATTCAGAGAGATGCCTGACTTAATAAAAGAATACATGCCTTCAAGACAGAGAAATGAGAAAATATCAGAGTAGTAAATACAAGATCACAGATCACTGTTAACATTAATAATGAATTGAAAGACAGTTTCTGAGATATTTAAGCCAGATGAAATCATCACAGAGAAACAGTTCAATGAGTTCAACATATATAAAGACTTAGTTGAAGATATCAGTGAGATATCAGATAATACAGAAGATCTAAGTAACTGAAACAATAATAGCTCTGTGAGTGAGAAGACTCATATGAGACTAGAAATTGTAAGACTTCAGTATGAAGTTAAGTGAATAAAGACAGACAGAGATGAAAATGAAGAGCTTAGTGAAGATTTGATAAACTATCTTCAATGAAAGAGTAGAATATCTGTATTGATGAAGATTCTTAATGAATTCAGAGATTAAGTAAGATCTATAAAGAAGTCTGTTATACTCACTGACTCTGTAAATTACTCTATATGAAAGAAAGAGATTCTGCTTACAGTAAGACAATCTGAAATAAATGCCCCGGTGGCTGAATGGTTAATGCGGCCACCCAGTAGCACCTTGGCGTGGGAAACCAGGGCATGTGGGTTTGAAACCCGCAGGGGATACATTAAATCCGGAACCCAAGCACCTCAGGTTTCTAATAAATACAGAGGTGTACAAATCACTCCAATAAAATTGCTCTATGTTCCTGGGCTGAGAAGTTATTATTGCATGTATTTAATTGTCACTTCTTTGTATTTCCTATGTTCTTGTTATCTTGACATGGTCTCAACACCTGTATTTCCTCCTGTATAATCAACACTTGGCCTGTATTTAACATCACGCAAGGACTCATCATAAGCTCCGCTTGCATATGAGTATAATGAAAGAATAATAATAATAATAATAATCTGAAATGAATGACATTTTTAATAATAAGCAGATTAATTCTGACAAGAATGTCAGTATGAATATGCAATATTTTTAATTAGAATGAAATATTTAACTATATAACTACATATAATCTGTAATTGCTTTACAGGTCAAATCTCACTTTATTATACTCAAGAAGTCTCAACTATCTGCTTATTCTCTATGATCTGTCATAGAGGATAATTTCACTGAGAGGCCTGCTATTCACAGAACTCATCTGTTTCAAGAATTAATTAAGATAATATTAAAATCAAAGAATTCTAATCATGCATTTATTGAATATTTAATCACAATCAGAACTGATTATATCTGATTTGAAATATAATGTTGAAGATTTTCATGTTTTTCAACAGACTTCTTACAGAAGTTAGTAAAGATTGATCATCTTTTATAAAGAATTGAATGAATGTAATAGAGAAGAATGAGAATGCTAGAATACTTGAAGATGATTTTATGAGATTGTGTCAAGATATTCTTCTACAATTGCCAGCTACTGATGAACCTCTCATCTCTGATGGAAAGACCTCTGCAAATAACGCTCAAGACAAGAATAAGAAAGGCAAGGACAAAGACAATGACAAGGACAAGAACACTGAATTCAAATCTGAATGTAGAGATAATGACATGAGAACATGCTATCATTGTCAAAAAGTTAATCATATTCAGGCTGACTGTTGAAAGAAATATTCTGAGAAACATTCTTCAAACTTCAATACAAATAGAAACAAGGATAAAGACAAGAATGCAGAGAATACAGATACTGCTTCTGTTCACAATATCATGAAGCAAGTATTTTGCATCAAGAAAAAGGCCTATGTAAGTAATCAGACAGGAAAAGATATCTGAATTCTAGACTCTGAATTGAGCACTCATGTCACATCTTACAGAGATCTTGTCATGGCAAAATCTCAGAAGGTGAAAGTGATGTTGAAAATGACAGATAAAACAGTGATCTCTGCTACAGCTATAGAAGATATAAAGATTTCAGCAGAAGAGACAGATATGCTATTAAATAATATCTGCTATGTTCTGAAGTTAGAAGTGAACCTCATGAGTATGAGTAAGCTTGTACATCAGAGTTATACCTATAAGCAGTTAATATATGAGAATAATTATACTATATTGATTATATCTACTGACTGCATGTTCTCATTTACAGCAAGATTAAATGAAAATGATATCTATGAGATGAAAAGGCTGATTACATACAGAGACTTGATCTGAACTTACAATGATGCAATGATATTAAAAGCTAGAACATCTAAATCTCACAGATATTGTAAAAATGACAGCAGACTCATGTCTAGAGATGAGAATTATTAATTAACAAGCTATATCATTCTGCAAAGTCTGTGTTCAGGTAAAAATGACACATTCAATCTTCGCACCTATGACACAAGCTGTCAAGCTGGAAATGAGATTCTTCATCAATCTGACAGAGAGTGGAAAAACACTTCTCAACAGAAATGACACTCTCACTAGAGAGAGTGCAAGTTATTAATTGAGTATAACAGACAATGCAACCTGTTATATGATGCTGAGTTAATGAATGATGAAAAAGTGAAAATATGCTCACATCTATGAGTTGATAATAAGGGAGCAATTGATCTAGCAAAGGGAGAATTCTTAACATTAAGGTTGTGTCATATCAAGATTAGATATCATATTCTCTGCAATTTGATTAAAAAAGGAGAAATCATGATGAAACATATTGATTCTACAGTGAACATAGCTGACAGGCTCATTAAGTCACTGATGAAGCCTGCATTTGAAGAATTTGTCAAGAGAATTAGCATTCAGAAAATTGAGAAGAAGAAATGATTGAATGATAATGATGATATAGTGAATCAATGAATTTTACATGTATTTCTTGATTTTTACAGTTATTGCTGTACAGATGCCTTTTCTAATAAGAAAATCAGAGTTCAATTCATGTAATTAATTATTATTGCATTTTTGAAAGATTTGAGAATGAAGAAGGCCCCGGATGGCGGCTTATTATAGGTCATGATGTAGCAAGAGAGAGTGTTGATGATTACTACATTTACTCTAGTTATATATTATCTCAATCTATTCATTTAGTGTAACTCGCGTAGTTAGATTACAACATAACAACGTTATTCTCCAAGACCTACTCTAGTCACGTGCCATCTCAACCTATTTATTTAGTGTAACTCGCGTAGTTAGATTACAACATAATAACATTATTCTTCAAGAGGTTATGAAGCTCTCTACACAATAAAAAGCTGTAAAATAATGTGTAATTAATATCTTCACATGTCATTACAAGTGTGTCTAGATAATTTATTAAGTGATTAAACTCATAATTAATCTAAGATTCAGAGAGATATCTGACTTAATAAAAGAATATATATCTTTAAGACAGAGAAATAAGAAAATATCAGAGTAGTAAACACAAGATTACAGATTACTGATAATATTAATAACAAATTGAAAGACAGCTTCTGAAGTGTTTGAGCTGAATGAAATTATTGCAGAGAAATGATCTGATAAGTTTAATAATAAATATGAAGACTTAGTTGAAGATATTAGTAAGATATCAGATAATACAGAGAGCTTAAGTAACTGAAATAATAATAGCTCTGTGAGTGAGAAGACTTGCATAAGACTAGATAATTGCAAGACTTCAGTATGAAGTTGAGTGAATGAAGACAGACAGAGATAAAAATAAAGAGCTTAGTATAGATTTAATAAACTATCTTTAATGAAAGAGTAGAATATCTATATTAATGAAGATTCTTAATGAATTCAGAAATTAAGTAAGATCTATAAAGAAGTCTGTTATACTCACTAACTCTGTAAATTATTCTTTGTAAAAAGAAGAGATTCTGCTCACAGTAAGATAATCTGAAACAGATAACATTCTTAATGATAAGTAGATTAATTCTGATAAGAATGTTAGTATAAATATGCAACATTTTTGATCAGAATGAAATATCTAACTATATAATTATATATGATTTGTGATTGCTCTGCAGGCCAAATCTCACTTTATTATACTTAAGAAGTCTCAACTATCTGCTTATTCTCTATGATCTGTTATAGAGAATAATTTCACTGAGAGGTCTGCTATCTGCAGAACTTACCTGTTTCAAGAATTAATTGAGATAATATTAAAATCAAAGAGTTCTGATTGTGCATTTATCAAATATTTAATTGCAATCAGAACTGATTATATCTGATTGAAATATAATATCAAAGATTTCATGTTTTTCAACAGACTTCTTACAGAGATTAGTAAAGATTGATCATCTTTTATAAAC